CCTCCTCCCCCGGGGCCAGTACTCAGCGCCGACCCTGGCCCGAAATGCTGTCGATTATGTTGGCGCATCTGCTGCTGCTGCTGCTGCTGCTGTTGCTGCTGCATCTGCAGCTGTAAGTGCGGTGGCTGCTGGCCGTCCAACCAAAGGGGAGAAGCATTGCTTTGGCCTCCTGCCGGAGGTCTGGACCCAAAGCCCTGCGGAAAGCCTTCCGGTCCTGGACCACCACCGCCGCCGCCCCCACCGCCACCGCCCCATAGAACATTACCCCCCGTTAGCCCTTGCGGTCGAAAGTTGTTGGGGCCTGGAGGGTTATTGTTATGGTGCACTTGGATAGGCGGCCGCTGCTGCGGTTGGAGGGAGTTCTGCAAGGCGGGGAGGTGAAAAATGGGGTGGTCAGCACCGCTGTTCATCAGAAATTAAAACCGTGGCGTAGACACTGTTGATCAACCGCGTTTCTCGCCAAAAAAAAGGTTCTAGGCTGTGGACGTGAGCGGTCCTAGAAACGGTGTGATTCTGATACAGAGGGGACCTACCACCAAGGTTAGGCAGGAAGAACTGAGGGGACAACACACGTACAATGCACAATACATTCACCGCCGTGTTGGTGGGGTTATCCTCTTGGTGTCATGAAGAATAACAAACGATACGCAAAAAGCAGTGCGTTCGAACTGGACACGCGGGTCGCGTCCAGATCCCTTGCACAAAAGCTCTCAAGACGTCACACGCGGCATGAAAATACTGCAGACCCTTCTGGGATTTGTACAACTCACCACCACTCGCCCATGCCGCGGGGGGCCGCTGCTGCCGCTACCAACGTTGCCGCCGCTTCGGCCGCCCGCACTCTTGCCGCTTCTCGATCGCCCAACGGTTCGGTCGTAACGGTTCCTGCACGACGACAAGGACAGAGATGGTATGAACACAAGATCTACGATGATGATGTCTGATGGGAAATAGGCTGCGTTCATTGAATCGTTCTGATGCGGGGTATCTGCAACAAAAGCTTCGGACTATAACTGTGTAGATTTACACAATTTCCAGATAGTTTCCCCCTCACCAAACAATTCATGGTCTAACCGCTAAGGCACTCAAAACGTGAGTGCGCCCCTCCACCAAGCAATTCCAGTACAACACCATGTTCCACATCGACTTTGAGGGAGAACCTGAAGCCGATGAGAAGCACGCAAAGAAACAAGACGTTCAGCGCCAATTTTCAGGTTCGGCGGCGGAGTGAGAGTGGCGGCAAAGGTGCCGCGTGGTTGGTGAGCGAGGCGAGAAAACGAAGCCCCTCTCCTCACGTACCCCCCTAGCATACCTCAGTTGCTTTTCGCAGTAGACTCGCCACGAGTCCTCCGTGAAACCGTAGTTGAAAAAGTCGGCGATGTCGACGCCGGGGTGCCTCCACGGCTGCTCTTCCATGCCGTCGATGTCCACATCGAAGGCGGTCTTGCCCGTCGATTGCTGACGCACGAGCAACGGGGACGACGTGGGCTTGGCACACAAGACGAGGAAACCTGCCCACCCCACTTTGAAGGCATTTAACAGGCCACGCTACAAAAGACACGTACTCTCTACATCACATCCATCACGATGCAACGGGTCTTGCCTACCGATCGGGAGGTTTAAGCACAAGAGCAGCAGCAGGAGCGAAGCGCCCTGCTGGCAGGCTACGGATGAACACATGGGATAGTGCCCAACAGGTTTCATTTGCCTCGTGTTCCGACTCCAAAAAGGTTGTGGATTCATGCTTCACGATGAGCCTCGCTGACTGTGTAGCGCGACAGGCCTTCTCGCACCGTCGAATTCTTCGCATATCTGCACAATGTAAGACACCAACAAACGTGGACACCATCGATGCAATGTAGTAGTCTAAAGGATGCCCACAAAACGTCGACCAACCAGCCCACCTGCAGTTCGGCGGTCGGGGGATATTCCCCTGGCTTCAGAGAGGGTTTAGCCGTGGCAACCGGGGCCCCCTTCGAAGGCACCAGTGACGCAATCCCCGCGGCGGCTGAAACCGGCTTCGAGGTCGCGGTGGTACCACTCGTGGTGGTGGAATTCACCAACGTATTAGTACCTGTTTCATTGGCGGGGCGATCAAAATACAAGGAAACGCGTGAGCCCGAGGAGGGATGGCAAACACTACACAGCGAACGGTGTGGTCCGTTTCTGCGAGACAACCGGAGGCTCGCACCGAACCCTAAACGCCAGCTTTCCTTGCCGAGATCCCATTTCTATGTCCGTAACAGCAGTGCTACCTCTCCAGCTCGGCAACACCCTCCACGCCCTGTACGCGTCGGGAATGATTATTTAGTCTACCCCAGGGTGGACAAGCGAAAGGGGCGGTTGGATCCCTTTCGCGACAAAAAAAAGGTGGCAAGCATCGAGCAAGACACAAACAAAGAACTGTCAAGAAACCCCCCTGTGTAGCGTGACCTCGGCTGGTGCGTCGAAACACACCGAACGGTGTAATCTGACGTCCAGGATGCTTGGCGTGACAGCACACACACGCACACACATATTTTCATAGGTCAGTCGGTTGGCGATGGCAAACTCATGAAATACACACGCTCTATATACGCCGTGGTTCCCGGCAAATCGTTCTCACCGCGGAGAAATCTCTTCGTCGGCACCACCGGAGCTGCAGCAGGGGCAACACCCTCCCGTCCGACCACCACCCGGAAACCGTCATCCTCATCCTCGTCGTCGCTGCTGTCGGCGTGCACGACTGCCGTTGCCCCTTGCTCCTCCTCGACAACCATCCCATCGCCTTCCGGTTCTCGAGCGGGCGTGTCGCGTTTTCGTTTCTGTGCGGCCCCCGACTGCTGCTGCTGCTGCTGCGATCCGGTAGGCTTTCCAGCAACGTCGGGTTGTTGTGTGGTGCTACTCCTGTCGGGAATGGGCTTCACGGCGGCGGCCTTCGCCGCCGAGTCAACGATGGGAGAAGAAAATCGTGCACCTTCTCCTTCTCCTCCACCGTGGGCGTCTTGTGATGTACTGCCCGCCCTAGCCTCCGATTGTAAGGACACTGGTGAAACGTCACCCGCTCCAACTGGGCCTCCTCCAGCGGCGGCATCTTGGCTCTCACCCTCTTTCGAACTTTCTGATGCCTTGGCCTCAGCCGAACCAGCAGCATCGTCACCTGAAACAGTGTTACCTGCGGCGGCGGCGGCCGCGGCCGGCTTCGCCCGCACCTCTACATCTCCCTTCAGCCTATGCGTCGTTCCTGCCTCATCACTACTGCCGCCAGCGTCTAGTCGGCTGAGCTCCGGCGTTTTTTCTGCTGTAGCTGGTGGTGTTGGGTTCGTTTTGATATTGTTGTCGACGGGCTCTTCCTTCGCAGGGTTTGGGGGGTTCCTGCAACAAAGAGGGAGGGGCACACAACCATTGTACAGGTTGTGTTCAGGTTTACAGCACGCAAGGAGAGTTGAATACACGCGGGGTCTGGCGTAGATGCTTCCTGGCGCGGAATGATTGAGCGGGGTTGCATAGCTTTCGATCGCCACCGCGAGAATTTCGATTGATACGGACACCAACATGTGTTTCAAGCGGATCCAGTAAGGTGCAAGTATCTATGCATAACAGAAAAACAAACTCATGAAGTCCAAAATACTCGCGGAGAAGTCGATGTGAAGTCGAGGCGGACAACAGGATTTAAACAACAGAAGGAAAGGGAAAACAAAAGAGACAAAAGACAGGAGAGTCATAATGATTTCATTGTTACTCCACGTGCTGCTGCAC